ACTGTGGCGGTAACACCGTTAAAGTTAATTTCTTATATTCGTCTTTATTGAATTTTTATTATTATTATTATTTTGTAAATATTCTTCTAAATCTATTTGTAGACTTACAACTTCTTATCTTGTGCATGCCTTTGTTTCCTTTCAACCTAGATTCTATTGTTCTACTATCGTTAGCCTTTACCTAGAATTTCATCTTCACCTGTACTTGCATGCACCCCTTACTAATTGCTGTACTTTCCCTTAATTACTTTTCCTAAAATTCTATATTGCTCGCTCTGAGTGCTATAAACCTGTACCTTCAACTTTACTGTTCATACTGTTCCTTCTTGAATATTCTATCTCTTTTTACTAACAATTCAGCTGTATATAAACCCCTAAATTTCCATACTAACTAACCACTCTGCTGTCAACATTCGAGTAAGTCTACAACATTTTTTTATTGTTAATTGTCTGTCTGTGTTTTTATTTATTAAACATACCCTAAACGCTAAATAAATATAATGTAACAGACGCAGCGGTTTGGGTACAATTAACCTAGCCATCCCTATCAAACTATACAAACAATAGCGATAGACACTTCAGAATATTGTAGTGTTCGTGGGTTTAACAAATTAACTTTTAAGACTCACAACGACAAAAACTATTTATTTACATTAATTATTATTAAAGGACTTAAAAACACTATTAAATTATTACTATCTGATGAATTACTCTATTTATTTACCGTTGTAGGTACTGTTACCATATCGCTATTCACTGCGCTGTCAATTTATTTCTAGATTCACTTCTGCAACGGTCAATTTATTTCTACTCTTCTCCCGGCGAACGTCTCTTCCTTTATATACTCTTTTGTGTCCTTTCGGGAACTTTCTTGAGCCATCCGGAAAGTTTCGTTTTATTTGAACTGTTTAATTGCTTTCCCGGAACGCAGGTACGACACACACGTTTAGAGAAGAAAGGCGCCCGCGGCTAGTCGGCGAATCGATAAGCCTCTCACACACACGTATGCCCGATCGCACACAAACTCGCTCGTGCTCGCTACAATATTAATAGTAGTTGACAATCCGAAAGCGTGCTATCAAAGAGCAGTTTAGAGATTTGTAAAGCGAAATAGTTTCGAAATTGAGATTTATTGTTAAGTTCGTTAATTTGTTTAATAAACCGTGTAAAATTACGTCACATTGGTGTCAGGAGTGGGATTTCTGCCAGTTACAAGAAGTTAAGCGACAAAAATGGAGGAGCAGATGAAAGTTTTCATGGAAATGCTTACGGAAATGAAGGCAGACCAGGAAGAAATGAAGGCAGGTTAGGAAAAATTGGAAGAAGAGATAAAGGCAGGTCAAGAAGAAATTAAGACACGTCAGGAGAAAAGGCCGCGTTTACTACGAGGAATGGGCTTTGGCAATTCAACGTAATGCCCATTACCCTATACAACGCGCACGCTACCTTTAAAAAATTAATGAAGACCATTACAAGTGCTGAATTGGAAAATATGCTTGGTCTACTTGGATGACGTCATTGTGTTTGTGCGAACGTCTGAAGACCATCTTGCCAAATTGTAAAAGTGTTTAAAAAATGTTCAGTGGTAATGTTAAAACTAAATTCCAAGAATTGTGCGTTGCTTAGAATTGAAGTACCTAGGCCGCCTATTATCAACTAAAGGTGTTAGAACAGATCCTGAGAAGCCCGAGTCGATTCGCAACTGGCCGGAACCAACAAATCAGTATGAACTATTTTGTTCCCAAGTTCAAGGCGACAAAGAAAGAGTAATCGGTTATATTAGCAAGACGCTTAAAGCCAGAGAAGAATTATTGTGTGACTTCACGAGAATTACTGCCTGCCTTAAAAACTGTAGAACACTTTCACAAATATCTATATCGGCCAGGAAAACACCATGGAATCAAGACGACCATTCCCACGGAATTGCAAACATTGTTCTTCTATGGAACAAAAAGAAGGGTTAGAACAAGTTACATGCCTACACACCACCATAGAGAGGCAAGAAAACTGGGAAGACACCGGGTTGGTTGAGGTCAACGTGGGCGGACGTCCTCTGAGCACTACGACGAAATGTTGTTGAGCTCAATGGAATTTCCTAAAACTGGATAATGGAGTTCTTAACAGAATCTGGGAAAGTCCGGGCGGGACCAAGAAGCGACTCCAGGTTGTGCTGCCCAAGCAGAAGACAAAAGAAGTGATAAAAGAGCTGCATGCCGGTACTGGAATTGGAAATGTTGGAAAGAAGAAGAAAAACTGTGTGTTCCGCGCGAACACCTAAAAGTGGAGTTGAAAACTCAAACACAGGGGAAGAATCCTAACGTCATAACAACGATGGCAGACATACAGCTGCTATACATATATGATGTCATCAAAAAGATAACTAACTGTGCGCAAAGGTGATTACTGCGCATCTGCGGTAGGACAAAAGTGCAAGATAAACTTCCATGAGGAAAAGCATGGGAGTTTGATTTGATGGCTTATAGGTACATATATTCGTGTAAATTAACAAGATCACTTACTAAAGTATTGATCTTTTACTTTGCTCGCTAATCTTTTATCATAATGTCCTTACATGAAAACAACTTCTGTTTAATGTCTCCTTGATTAAATGTGTACCCACTTCTTATTTTCCTCTAACTTACCTGAGCGCAAAAATGACAAATATCCCCATCCGACCGGTCCGAGAGTCAAAGCAGATGGATCGACTTCTTTGACAGCCAGCGCGTACTCTTCAGTGAGTTTAACGATCTCGTCGGTTGTGGCCGGCTCTGGGTGGATATCGTGATGGGTCCTGTGCCACAGGTCGTACTCGTTATCCATCTCGTAAAAGAGCACTCCGCCTTGGTCAGCGGTACCATACTTCTTGGTCAAATGTTGGAGCCACTCCTTAGTGAACGTGCTGTTGATCTTGACTGAGGTGTCGGTCGGGTCGTTGCCAGTGATGAGTGTTGTACCATCGGTTTTCTTGCCATTACCACAGTCGGGCATCAATTGGTCAGTCTGCTGCTGAGGACCGTACTTCTTGACACTAAATCCGCAACGCCTCTCTCTATTTGCACATATTTTAACAAGATTATTACTTAATTACTACAATTTTAAAAATTGTAAATGAAAAAGTGATATTATTTATGAGAAGCTCATATGCAAATGTAGTGGGAGAAGAACTAACTTCAAAGAACCATACAGATATTCTAATATAGTTTGTCAAAGTATATACTGCAGTTATGAATTAATTACTCTTTAGCTTTACCTCACCGCAGGAAGTTGTAAAATTTGATTGACAAGTTAACCTATCCTGACAAATTTCAGGTCTGTATTTCAAAAATGTATTAAATAAACCAAGAAATGTATGTAAATACTGAATTTAAACAGTTATTAATTAGGTAAACACATTACGTAGAATGTTCATTCACTCAAGTAGAACTCACTTTCATCTGAAGACTCGCCATCTAAAGAAATTATTAAATTATTTGAACTGTAACGATATCTATATGCATTTTAAATATTAAGAACATGTTAGAGACAGTTGTTCCAGTGGAGGAGGAAAACTTCTTCGTTTATTGGATTATCAAGAACTCCCGAGGAACTGTGTGATTTTATCGTGGAGGGAGAGAACAATAGCCTCATATGGTGGCGGCAGAAGGGACTTAACCCTTATACTGCCCGCTACTCGGTGCATAGCCAAAGGCAGTTTACTCAATTCATGTCACATTTGTACTATATTGAGCGGCTGCAAGGTTAGCGTATGTCCCCGGTGGAATAGCTGCCCAGTGTAAAGAAAAACTGCTAATAGGAAGGAACTGATTTTACCTCAAGTAAATCCCAGCAGGACTGTCCTTCGCTGTGTCTGCCATAGAGGACTGCTCCAGGGATATTGCGGGTTAGGGTTCATTTGACATTCAATTCACACACGCGGGAATATGTTAGAAATGTAGTGTATAGTTATGAATATACATTGTATTGTTTGATCCAAGGATGTTTCCAAGGATTCGGAAGAAGTATATTTCAGGACAAGCGTCAAGGCATCAAGCACACCTCCAAGAGGGCCACTTCGGAAGTCATTAGTTTGAGTGCCCCGGCGACATCTTCGAACCGTTCCTATCCGCTCGATGATCCTTTCATCAACGCTGACAGAGAGCCAAAATCGGGAGCAAATAAAGCTAGTAAGAATGGGAGTAGCACGATAGTTGCCTTAAAAACAAAAAAGACTTTCTGATTCAAACGAATTCATGCGAGTTACCCCCCAGATAATACGAGATTGGGGGGATTGTCTCCAACTTAGATGTCCTTATCGTAGTGTAACGTATTACGCCGGTGCCGAAGGGTGATGAAATGCCTAAAAAGTCAGCCAGTCTACCGTGCTCACATAGCCTATTCGTATTAATACATTATTTCTCAATAAAACATAACTTTCAAAACGCGGAACTGTCGTATGCAGAAGCGGGCAAAGACAAAATTCCAAAAGTTCCACGTGACGATGACGAAAACAGGTACTATGTGGGGTCCTATAATAATCAAAGGTAAATGAGAAAAAGCAAGATGAAGTGACGTTCACGAGAAAGATTAAGTGAAATCCGAAAAAGCGGTCTTTTAGTTGGTAGGAAGAACTGATTTATCGGTTCCTGCAATTAGGGAATCGTCGAGTATATTATAGATTGTTGTTGGGTTGACGATTGAAACCCTGTACCGAAATACCTCCTCAAAGGACGAACCACCGGATCCTCGTGCACTGGATAGTTTAGATTAGATTTTTAGATTAGTTTAACTTAATCTCCCGTAGTGACTTTTGTCTCCTACCTAATAATTGTTAGTCGTTTGTTGTTTTTCAGCATAAATTAATTTATCGGTAGTTTTGTCGAATATGCAATATTAAAAGGGAAAACAGGTGTTAAGACTTTATTGTTCATACCTGCGGTACTAACCCCTTAGTACCAAGAAGAGTACCATTATAAATACTTTCGTAGTGAGATACACATAATGGCATCAAACTATTAGGTTTTTCCCTAAATTATCGCTTGTGCATACCTGCATAAGTAGGGGTAGTGACCGAGGTGTGCTTAGTTTTAAGATATAAAAACACTTTTAGATAACAATAACATAACAGAAGATTAATTCAGACATCAGACAAGTAACAAGTATCTTGTTAAGTAGCAATTAGTATTAGTTTTAGTGTGTACGTAGGATTATTAAAAGTATAATACAGCACGAATCTTTTTAATCTACATACGCTGGTCTTTCAAGATTTATGTTTTGTGTGATCAATTATTGATTTATGTGGTAGAGCAGTACACCGACAGAAACAATAAAAAATTTTCGTCGAGCGAGCCAAGCTACCCAACAACAGGTTTTTTAATGGTTAACCTCTCCTATGTTGTGGGGATTACACTCATACAAGTAAACACACACATAACCTCAGTACACTCTACAACTACCTCTTTGCTCCATGACGACACAGCGCTCCGTACGGAGACTCGTGAAGTCAGGGATCTCAGGTTGGTAACAATGAATGTCACCAGCTTGGTGATTCATATTAGTTTTATTCTGTTTAGTCAGTAAGATTTTGTACTGCTTCGAACATTGATCAACCTCCTGTATTAATATTAATAAATTGTTATTGTTATTCACATTCACGCTCATTTAATTATATGTGCGAGTTATACTGAACCCCCACAATGTCAACCAACCCGTCGCGCTCTATGATACACCATAAGACACTACACTTATAGAAAAGATGAACAAGCGTATTTACATTTTAAATAATTCCTAGAATGTAAAACAAGAACTGAAAGATTTCAGCTTAGATTTCAGAAATGATTAATTTATATGATTATTAATTACAAAATACTGGAATAAAGGATTGGTTAGATAATAACATGAGGACAAATGAATGTTCAGAAACAGAAGAAAAGGACAACTTGTGACAAACCCATGATGAAGTCTTTGAAATGGTAGTACATGCAGATGATCAACTTCATGAATAAATACACACAAGGAATTCTTACGTAGCCTGAAACAGGTGATTCGCTTCACGAACAGGACAGTTATCGTTGTAGGCGTTGGATTAGAAATTGTTGTTGTATTCGTTAGAAACATATTCAAACATACTGAGCCAGCTCAATTAATACGTGCATTTCATGGCATTGGACTTCTACTTATGTCATTTACCATGCCATAATTTTTGAAGTGAAACTTCTTCACGCAAGGTAGGGTAGTTCGTTTCATGCGAGTTGCTATGTAACGAAATCATGCAACGGATGTCTCCCCTCTACTCAGCTACGTAGTCGAGTTCGTAGCGGGAATCGTTTAAGCCGTGAGCGCGCTTCAATGCAACGTTCGTTACAGGCAACTCCGGCATGTATGGTGTAAAATTTAAATTCATAATACAAATAATGCCATAAACTAATTCCTTAACCCCTATCGCGATATGTATGTGTGTTTGAAGAAGTTTTACTTCAGTAGCGTGTTGTGTAATTACACGTTGTTTTTTTTTTATTATAAGATGTAGACGAAATATCAAAATATTTCAAATTGAATCAACAGGATGAATTGATTTGTATGGTAACATTTGTTTCACTCGCGAACTATGCAGCTTTGGAAATGTTTTTCATTGTGTATACTTTTAGGTACTATTGGCTCCTTTCAATATTAAATTGCCCTTCACCCCCACAGTAGTTTGTGTCTTCTAAGTTGTAAAAGTACATTTTCGTTATCGACTCTCTTCACGACATTCTTTGTTATTCTCTAATTCCTGCAGAGGGTATGTGTGTGTGCTTTACATACGAAATGCGTCTTATACAAGTAAAAAATACTGCTTGTATTTTTTTCTGGTATTTACTAATATAAATAAATATATATATAGGGTGTCCCATTTATGATAATTAAAACAAACATGGATTCCTGACACAAAATACAACAAAAAGTGTTTACAATTTTTCAATCCAGTGACAATTGAGCTCGCAAATCGTCTTTGTAAATTTGAACGTGCAATTTGTTTCATTACGGGCCTGGATCTAGGCGACTAATGTCGCTCAGCTGATCTAGTGTGGATGTAACAAGTACCTACCGGGAAGAACCGAATGCACTTCCACCTTGTAAAAAAATGGTAAAAGTAAAAAAGAAAAGCGTACCTTTTATAAAAAATGTTGAAATTGTCCGTCATTCGCTTCAATACAACACTGACAGCAGCGTACCCAGTTGCTGAGAATTTTGGCCCAGAAACCGGGAATATTTCGAATTATACGAAAGGCATTGGTAATGTAACTCACCACCAACTGACGGTTGAATAAGAACCCTACTAGAATGCACTATCTCACTACTAATTGCCCTTATTGAAATAGTCTTTTATGAAATGACCACTAAATAAATAAAGTAACATTAGCAAACAAGTAAATTCCACAACAATCCAAAGCAAACTGAACAACCTGTTAGAAACTACGGCATTATCTGTATTTATTCCAATCACTTCCAGAAGTGTAATTATACGAGTTTATATCAATGTTTAGCTTTTACATTTAATGAAAACAAAATAACCAACTTGGTCCTTCTGGTCACATCCTTGTATTACTCCACGTGGGGTTATTGAGCCCTGCAAAACTAACGTCAGAATGAGTAGTTTCACACATGTGATTGGTCAAAGTAGGTCTGCATCTTGTCTCAACTTTTACAACCATAACACATACATTTGTTTTCGTACACTAGTAAGATATGTTAAAACCTTTACCAAACGCTGGGTGGTCAGGATTGTTTGTGCCCCGCTTCTACCTATTCCGTAGTCATTATAATTTCTTTTCTATTTAAAATAACATAATACTCAACGTCATGGACTACATTAGGTCCACTTCAGTTTACGATCATGGGATTTTCGATTGTGATAGATACGTAGTTCAGTCATCCAATTGACCTTAACGCGAGTTCATTTTCTTCGGCTGATCCGTAACTTAATACCAAACATAAACAATAACATCACCCCAAAAAGCAGCTGATTCCGACCTACTGAAGGTGAATTTTTCTACGATCAGCTGCCAATCGTAATTAATTTGTAATTGTACAGGGCCGGCATCAAAACTGTTATAATTTTATAATTTATTATTTTCTTTCAAAAGTCAAAAGTGTTATAACATTTTATGTTCCAAATACCCGTAGGAAGCTGTGCTATAAATATTAATTATTATAACTGGGACACTCTATATATATTAAATATATGAAGTGATGGCTACCATTAACATACTCTTCCAATGAAAACCCCCATGATGATCCAAGATCATAATGAACATCAACAAATCAATACAGTACCTGTCTTTTGGAGTCCAGCCGATAAGCGGAATAGTGAGCATGGTGCGTGCACCCATCAATTTGTCTTTCTCGATGAACAGGTCGCTTATGGAGCCGTCGGGCAGATTTTCAGGATTTGGATTGTCCTCGGGTAAGTTCTCGAAGAACCAATCGGACGCGCGGTTGGACGCGTCGTTCTTCCAGTTGTATCTAGTGACGGCGTTGCCGCCAAATCTGTCGACCGGTAGATTGATTTCTTTGGCGAAATTGATGTCGTTCAAAAATGACATGCCGTATATGTATTGCGATATCGGGTGTGTGTTCGACTTAGCATCCACCTCAAGCGTCACCATACTAGAGGTCAGGTCATCTATCAAGCAGAGACTTTGTTCTGAATTCTGTTCCATGCAATTTAAATTTGCAAAAGTGCACTGTTATTGAAACATTTTTGAAGTGAAACTTCTTTACACACGGTAGGGTAAGTTCGTTTCATGCGAGTTGCTATGTAACGAAATTATGCAACGGATGTCTAGTAGTAGGGATCGCTTAAGCCGCTTCATTTCAACGTTCGTTACAGGCAACTCCGGCATGTATAGTGTAAAATTTAAATTAATAGTATACAAATTATACCTTTAAACCAATTCCTTAACCCCTATCCCCGTATTTTTGTGTGTTTGAAGAAGTTTCACTTCAGTAACGTGTTGTATTTTTATTTTCTTTAGGATTTTTTAACAGTGCTGAATGATTCGTTCTAATAGAATGTCACTCACGCTAAATTAATGGCAAACGATTAATCCTAACTTATTATTTTGGAATCGAACACAGATATATATATATATGCTTTTGGAGAGAAACTTCTTCATCGACGATAAGAAGAAAATTTACTAGGGTATAAAAACGAAAAGTGTAATGTCACTCGTCACGCGTCCTGTCACGCGCCCCTGGTTAGTGGATATGTCCAAAAGGAGTCCGTTTAACAGGCTTCAGACGCTAACCTGTAAGTAGCAACCGATAATCGGAAAATTGCTTTAATTTGTAATTCCTCTCTGCAGTTTTGAGTGGTGTAAGCGTAAAAGTTTTTTACAAAATTAGACCAATTGTCTACATTCGTCCGCTAGCAATAATGTTGTATTTCTCTTGGTGTTTAGTAAGTCGTTAATACAATAGATTAAGCAACATTTTTAAAAAAATACTACTATAATGTGCAACCTAAAGAAGTTTCATTACTGTTTCATGGCATAATAAAAAGTACCCCACGTTTTTTTTACAATGAAATTAATTTTCTTTTTACTACTTTATTTTTAAGTTAGAATTATTGAAAATGATTGAAGTATATTGATTTAGTAAACATTCTATGGCCGTTGATTAAAATATCTGTATTTAAAATATATTTTCTGTTTTTAGTTCGATTTGCTATTAAAGCACGTTTATTAATTGAAGTTAATTAGGTAATAGGAATAAAGACTCGTACGACCCACGAAAGTGGTCATCCCTTTACATTATAAAGTGAGCACCTTGTTACACTCTCATAAAGTAATAAATTTTCTCTTCAAAGTTACTATATTCTAAAACGGTCCAAGCAAACTATACAAGAAGTTTATAAAATGCCAATTGGAACGGGTCACGAAATTAGACACAATATATCATAGATTCACGTACAAAGGTTAAAGTGATGGATAATAGGCTGGAACGAACATAAAAACTGTACATACAACGAGGATATAAAACAGGAACAAGTCTGGACAGACGTCCTCAACCTTTGACTTGACCTTCGAAGTCAACGGACCATTCCAGTTGAACTTCTAGTCTACCAGCCCTGCAGTTGACAGTTCTACAGCTATATTTACACACACTACTTAATAGACGAATGCTCCAGCCGTTCGTATCTACGGCAAACAACCCTTAGGTTAAATTTTTATGTTTTATGCTCCTTCTGCGGCCGCAACCATGTCACCACCGAATGCAAGGGAAAAGACAGGAAAGACGAAACCTTCTCCTGTGCTAACTGCAAAGGGAAACACCGCGTCACCTATCGTGGTTGTCCCAAGGTACCTAAGAAAACCGTACTATCCAAAAAACTCTCCTTTACTTAGGTGCACCAAAAAGAGGCCAGACAATCATCCGTCCTTTAGCTACCCCCGTAACGACGCTCCCCCTAAAGTTTTACGTCAGGGCCGTGAGAGTAGTCCCCCCTACTACTACGTATCGAAATGTCCCACGCAAGCTTGCCAGTTGGCATTAATGTCTTGCTAACCCCCTCAGAATCATTTCCCTTTACTCCCCTCCATTTGAACTAAATATTTCGGATTTTCCCCTCCTCCTCGCCTCCTGTGACCGCCGATAAACTAACAAAAAAAGCATTTTTCTTCTTGCTAAAGTCCTCGTCCTCGACCCCAATCTTGCCGTTGAAGTAGCCCCAGATCCTACGTACCTTCTTGGCCCCCACAATCGTCTTCCCGACATTCTTGACATCTTCGTCTTAATAAGAGTCACTTTTTCTGCCGATCCAACCGTTCTCGACGCTCTAAGTTTCGACCGGACCCCTAAGGGAAGTCGGCCACCCAACCCTCAACCTTCCAAACCTTACAACTTCGCTAGACTGGCTACATCTCCGTTACAATCTCGAAACATCCTCCTTTAAGTGCACTTCAATTCACTCAATAGCGGAACTAAACAAAGCTGTCAATCTCCTTTCAAACGAGATCACCAGCACCATCGACCTCTCCACGATCTCGAGGAGGAAGGACGTCCTTCCCAAAGAAACATCTCCCCGAAGACATTCTTGCCATCGTCAATAGAAAAAACAAAACCCGCCGTCTGTGTCAAAAACACGGTGATCTCACACACCACGCTGAGTTAAACGCCCTCAAGCAAGAATTTAAAACACGTCCAACCGAATTTCGTAGCGCCACCTTCGACGATTATATCGCTTGGAGCGTCTAGAAACTCGGATTGAATATGCCACTGAACTTGTGGGATCGTCTCAGCTTGGACAGAACCTGAAAATAGTCTGAGTAATAACCTGGAAATATGCACTTCTCCTGTCTACTTCAAAAGATTGTAACATATTAATTACTCCAGAAAACTTCAAACCATTTCCGAAAGCAGCTCCTAGAAAGACAGAACGGCGAGGTCGTCAGCCTGGCAAAATTAAAATATTAACAATGACACCGGATAAAGAAACTTGCTACAATGAAAGTCTTACTGTAACCCCAACCAAGAAAATATGCAACCCTAATAATGACAGTCATACGAAGTCAAATGATGAGAGCAGGAAAACCCAATTTAATGATGTGATAGAAAGAGAAAAGTTGAGAACTGTTAAAAAGAGAGTTTTTGAGAAGAGTGACACTGAAGGTGGCGGAAACTTTTCTAATAAAAAAAAAAAAACTAAGAAGACTCACGGAAAAACTAAAGGAAAAAATTGGTCTGAGCACGCTTTGGTCGGTGCTAATACGACTAACTTCCCATTAGATAATACAGTTATTATTGATTCCGTAACTTCATTGTTGTGATTAGATTAGAACGTATTTTAATTAAATTGTTTGTAATTAATTCGTTTTTTTTTTATAAAAAAAAAACGGCTTGACCGATTTCGTTCAAATTTCTTTCAGATCTTCATTATGATAATATCTTTCGAAAAAATTTTGGTTGAGGGCGATATCTCAATCCGTTCTTGAGATATCGAAAACGAAAAAAATGCTGACATACGAACGTACGTACATACGTACGTACGTACGTACGTACGTAC